AACTCTCAACATTTGTGTGTAGGGACAACACTCTAACCAACTGAGTTACTTGGTGCGGGCTGCCAATGTTTTCTGATTAATTTTTAATGCCTTTTTCAATGGTGCCTTGCATTTTTCTGGACTTTTTATATAATAAATTGGTTCAGATGAGGCAACCATAAGTCCTATGGGTTGGATTGACTTTGCTTTTTAGACTTTTAACTTACAGGAAGGAAAATCTACTTATGGCATTCAAGCATTTATTTTACCAGGCACTATGCATGATCCTAGAAATATAAAGATGAATGAAGTCTCTGCCCTCAAGGAATTCATAATCTAGTAGGAGAATTTAAAGAATTTTTTAAAAATGACATAAGTGATTATTAAAGCGTATCATCTAGGACAGAGGAAGGCCCAGCTAATTTTTGTAAGCTACCAAGAAGAATCAGAAAAATCTTCCTCCTTTTCAAATTATATGAAAGTGTAATTCCAGCTCTTTTAGCAGCGTTTGAAAATATAAAATAACAAGAGGTACAAGTCTGCAATTTGCCTTTCAGCTTCCAGTTCGATTTAAGCCGTGTCTTCTTAATCACTTTCTTGTAATGCATTAGTTATTTTTTAAAAATATTTTTATTTATTTCAGAGAGGAGGGGAGAGGGAGAGAGAGAGATAGAAACATCAATGATGGGAGAGAATCATTAATTGGCTGCCTCCTGCACATCCCACACTGGGGATCAAGTCCACAACCTGGGCATGTGCCCTGACCGGGAATCGAACCGTGACCTCCTGGTTCATAGGTCGACGCTTAACCACTGAGCCACGCCGGCTGGGTGCATTAGTTATTTTTAACTGTGCCAGAGTTTGTGGGTGTTTTCTTTGCAAATTCTCCCAAAGCTCTGGTCTGTTGACCCGTAGTAGTCCAAAATAGCATTTTTAGTTTAATCATGTTAATTCCATATGGTGGTATCACATTTAGTTTCTGCTTTGTTCCTAAGGAGGATAAATCTTTTAAGAAGAGCAAGAGCCTGGTAGCTGGTCATGAATGAATTTCATGACCTGCATTTCTTAGTAGAAGCGCCTTTAGCATCTTTTCTGCTTGATGAGTTGATAAAAGCTTGTCCTAGTTTCTTGAACCTGTTTTGTAGTAATAATTCAGCCTGAATTTTCTCTTTCCTTATTGTTTCCTTGAGGTTTAAAACTAGTATATTGATTTTTTTTCTGAAGTTTTCAATTCCAGGGAAGATTTTCTTTCCTATCAATCTCTTCATAGGTCCTTGGCAGAGCCAGTGAAGTCTATTAATTTTCTCTTTATAATTACTAATTATAATCTGATAAATTGACATCTCAACATGTACTCTCTCTTGTGGGTGTTTCTTCTATTGTTCTGAGGTTGATGTTTCCATTCCTTATGCTATAATACTTTAATATCTCATGCCCTCTCTCTGTTTTAATCAATTGTATAATGCCTGCTTATTTTCAGGATTGTGAAGTTGTCTTCTGATTTAGTGGATGACTATTAGTTTGGGTAAAATTTTCAGAAACATGCTATGATAATTTAAGAACTTGAAAAGCCCACCTAAATAGAAGGATGACTTTTTTTTTCTTTCCTTGATATTCAACAGGGTCACAAAAATATCCTTGGCTTTAACAACTCTTACGTACTTCCACTTTTCTTAAGACTGATGTTTTGTATGTTTCACTGAAATATTCCCTCCACCACTGAAGTGTTGCCAAAATCTATTATTGCGTAATCTATGGCAGAAGATAAATCTAAAAGTGGTGGCTCTTTGTTAAGAAAACCAAACACTAGTTGAAAGGTCATCACTTCTGTTGGAAGAATATTTTCAAAATCTTCAAGCCACTCATGTATTGTCTTGGTTTGTTTTCAGGTTATAATACATGCCTATTATAGAAAACTTTTGTGAATATAGAAAAATATAAAGAAGAAAACTGTCAACAGTCAGTATTTCCACCAGCAATCAAGTCTACCTGTTACTTCTGCAACCCCAAATTTTCTTGAAGCCTTAGTCTAGCAACCACCTCCCCTTTCTAAGTCTTCACAGACTGTTCAGGACATTAAGAATAGAGACTGTCTCTAAATGTAAGGGTCCTTAGGATTTTTATGGAAGGAATGGAGCTGTAGGAAAAACCTACAAATTGCTCCACAGATGACATCTTGTTCTTATTTAGCTTTCTTTGAGTCATTAACAGTCGGGCGCCACTGGTGCTGAAACTTATCATTATTATAACCGCAAATGGGTTAATGCCCAAACAAAGCTATATTCTTGGGGCTGGTTCCCAGCTCCACCACACAGACCTCAGCAGCAGCACCTTCCAAGCCCCAGGATAATGCTCCACAAATAAAAGGATGTCAAATGTTCAGCCTGGACTGAAAATTCGCTTCTTTTATCTTGTAGCTTCCAGTTGCTGGGAGGGCAGAGCAAAAGAAAAATGAATAAATAAAAACCAAGCCAATAAACCCTAAAAAAAGAGGCTGTGTGGTTTAGTGGTCAGACCACTAGCCTGGGGGTTGGGATAGTGCGATCCAGTTTCAGGTCACCCACTATTGGCTGGATGATGATAGAAAATTCATCTTCCTATATTCCTCAGTTTTCCTACTTAGGAAAGGAGAAGTGCCTTAGAAAGTTCTCAGGACAAATGAAATGATCTGCAAATAGCTTCAAGTTGCTTGGAAATAGAATGAAATTGTAACCCTCAATAATTACTATCCTATTACTTTATTAATAATAGTAATAAGCCACAGGTGTGAAAGTTATAAACTCTCATACCTTTAAGCTGCATTGGTAAGGAGAATGGAAGGTGAGGGTGTAGGAAGAAGACAAATATTTTCATCATATTTGTAGGACTTCACATCAAATATCAAATTAGTAAATTCATTGCCTCAAAATAATAAATGCTGTTCCTAGTTTCGGTCTGTCCCTTTATCCTTACTGCATCTAAACACAGAGTGACTCACAGGAACCTAGAAATGAGACACATATACAATTTTAAGGGAAAGGGAGAATTAGGAGGTTTGAAGCTCCTGGTAGAGGAGGCTAAGAATAGACCACTCAAAACACAAAGAGAAGAACCTCCTCTTTCTTTTTCCTCCCAATGTAGGTGGTCCACCGGTTTCCCAGTCATTCTTTTGATAGCATGATTTTTGTTTTCTTTCTTTTCACAAAACCTCACCTTCTCTTTGTGGGGGTGGGGTGGGGGGAGAGACAAACTAAAAAAGTGAGAGCAGGCCCTAGCTGGTTTGGCTCACTGGATAGAGCGTTGGCCTGGGGACTGAAGGGTCCCACGTTCGATTCCGGTCAAGGGCATGTACCTTGGTTGCAGGCACATCCCCAGTAGGAGGTGTGCAGGAGGCAGCTGATCGATGCTTCTCTCTCATTCATGTTTCTAACTCTCTATCCCTCCCCCTTCCTCTCTGTAAAAAGTCAATAAAAAAATATATATATATTTTTAAAAGTGAGAGCAGAGTGGCTTTTTCTAATAGGTTTCAACTGTGACAAGTGCTACAGACCATTAACCTGCTTTTGGGAACGAAGGGGAGCAAAAAGAGAAATATGGGGATCTCTGGAAACGTAAAGAGCAATGAACGTTATCCCCTCTTAAAGAAGTGAGCAATTAGGCATATGAGGAAAGAAATCCAATAGGTGTCTTGGTTTGTGCATCCCATCCCCTCAAGAAGTGAAGTGTTGCCCTAGCTTGTTTGGCTTAGCGCAGTGGTTCTCAACCTTCCTAATGTCACGACCCTTTAATACAGTGCCTCATGTTGTGGTGAGCCCCAATTTCATTGTTACGAATTGAACATAATTAAAGCATAGGGATTAATCACAAAAACAATATGTAATTATATATGTGTTTTCTTTTTTTTTGTGTGTGTATTAAAAACCTAACAAATACCATTTTTATTCATACTTGTATCCCCATATCCAGAAGAGTCTCTCAAACAGAGTAGGTGTTAATGTTGAGCTGTAACCTTGTGGTTCAGTTGCCATGCTCTCAAAGCTCACACATCTAAGTCACCAAGAAAAGCAGGACTTGGCATCTTGGTCAGTGATTCCAGAAAAGAAACTGAAAGTTCAAGGGCAGGAGGTCAATCTGTCCTCCCAGTGGTTGGCATATATGTGTTTTCTGATGATCTTAGGCGACCCCTGTGAAAGGGTCGTTCGACCCCCAAAGGGGTCGCGACCCACAGGTTGAGAACCGCTGGTAGTGGATAAAGTCTCTGCCTATGGACTGAAGGGTCCCGGGTTCGATTCTAGTTAAGGGGACATGCCCGGATTGCTGGCTGAAGCCCCAGTAAGGGGCATGCATGAAGCAGCCAATCAATGATTCTCTGTCATCATTGATGTTTCTATCTCTCTCTCTTCCTCTCCCTTCCTCTCTGAAATCAATAAAAAAATATTTTTTTTTAAAAAAAAGAGTGATCCTTTTAAGAAAAGAAAAGAAAAAGTGAAGTGCCTTGGTAGAAAAAAACAAAACAAAACAAAACACTTGGAAAGGGTACCAAACAGTAAGGCATAGGAGTAGAAGGAGGGACTAAAGATAGAGGATTTTGAGAGGAAATGTTAATGAATCCTAGAGGATTTAATGAGCACGTTCTGTTATAGGATGAATGTACACAAATTTTAATGAGCAGCCTTGTTACAGGAGCAACCAAGATATAAGCACTTGAAAACATTTTGTAGCAAATATAGTAAATAATAGATAAAAATAGGTAATGAGATATTGCTTACGGAAATTTAGGGGTGGGATCTATTGTGAGGATAACAGCTGTATAAAGCAGGAATAGTTATGAAATTCAGAAATTGAGAATATGGGAGGCTGGCAATAATTTTTTTCCGTTCAAATTCTTCTAAAACCAACTAACTCATCGAGCATTCTTGAGTTCTAAGAAGACTGGACCGCTGCAAAGCAACCGCTCCCGGAACTCGTGTGGCCAGCTTCGCGTTGCGGTACGGAAACTGTTTGCGTGACACCCCCTCCGCCTCTTTCCTCTCCTCTGGCTGCGTAGGTGCCATGGCAACGGAGAGTGCTGGTGACCTAGCTTCCGGAAGCCGGAGAGCTACAGCTTGGAAGCTCTCCTTGTGCAATGATGCTGAGTCCGGAGCGCCTAGCCCTACCAGACTACGAGTATCTGGGTAGGAGCCTTGGGGAAGAAAAGAAGTGCAGACAAATTAGGCGGGGGGCGGGGGCGGGGTCTGTGTGGGACCCGGTCGAGCTGGGATGGGGAGGAGCAGGGAAGGGGGCGCGTCCGGGTCCTAAGCCCGTTAGGCCCAGCGAAGCGGAAAACAGCACCTGGGGAGTAAAGAATGTCTGAAGTGGACGGGCTGCAGCTCAGGCGATGAGGATTGTGTTCAAAGTGGGATAGGTTGGAGTTGAGAATTTGGGGTCCTCGGGGGGGCGGGTATTGATATGCTGGTAGTGGAGTAACCATGAACCTTGAAGTGCCAAATCAGGCATTCTTGAACAATAATTTTACCATTACATAGCGGCAACTACCAGTTGTGAGCGTTTCTTTTACATTACGCGCTCTACTAAACATCTTACATGCATTCTTTTTTGAATCGTCACAACAGCCCAGGAGGAAATACTGCTTTTTCTTCCATTTTGCAGCCGGAGAAACTGAGGCTGAAGAGGTAACTCACACAAATGAGGCCGCACAGCTAGGCAATCGTAGAGCTCTTGACCGCTAAGGCTGTAGCTAGTACTTTATTGAGCACCATCAGCGTGTAAGGCATTTACTGGATGAAAAAGAGATGTAGGCACACAAATTTTAAAAAATAGACCTTATTTTTTAGAGCGGGTTCAAGTTTACAGAAAATTGAGCAGATATTATACAGAGTTCCCATGATATTCCCCGCTCTCCCCTACCCAGTTTTTCTTACTATTAATACCTGGCATTAGTATAGTACCTTTGTTATAACTGATGAACCAGTGTTGAGACATTATTATTAACTAAAGTGCAAAGCTTACAGTAGGGTTCAGTCTTTGTGTTGTCAGTTCTATGGATTTTAATAAATATGTAATGTCATGTAACTGTCATTATAGTATCATGCAGAATAGTTTCACTGCTCTAAAAATTCTCTGTGTTCTACCTCTTCATCTTTAGACCTGCACCAACCCTTGGCAATCACTAATCTTTTTACCGTCTTTAAAGTTTTACTTCTCCAGAATGTCATAGAGTTGGAGTCAGCCAATAAATTGGCTTCTTTCACTTAAGCATTTAAGGTCCCTGAATGTCTTTTCCTGGCTCGATAGCTCATTTCTTCTTATCATTGAATAATATTCAATTGTTTAGATGTACTATACACATTTTTAATGAAAAACAATTCTAGTTTAAAATTTTCAATTGATAATACAGAAACTGATTTAAAATATAAAGAAGTTTTTTAAAAAAAATATAGCCCTGACCGGTTTGGCTCAGTGGATAGAGCGTCGGCCTGCGGACTGAAGGGTCCCAGGTTCGATTCCGGTCAAGGGCATGTACCTTAGTTTCGGGCACATCCCCAGTAGGGGGTGTGCAAGAGGCAGCTGATCGATGTTTCTCATTGTTGTTTCTAACTCTCTATCCCTCTCACTTCCTCTCTGTAAAAAATCAATAAAATATATTTTTAAAAAATAATAAAATATAAAGAAGTTTATAGTAAGTCTCCTGCCACCCTTCCCCCGCCCCCTCCTGCCAGTTCTCATCCATAGCTAGTCGCTCACCAGTAACCATTGTTACTGGTTTCCTGAGTATCCTTCCAGAGTTTATTTTATTAGGTACATAAAGGAGAATACAGTGCATACTTTTTTCATTTAATATATCTCAGAGTAATTTATCAGAAGAGAGCCTCCTCATTCTTTTTTAGCTGTATAGTATATAAATAATTTATTTAACCAGTTTTCTATTGGTAGACAGTAAGTTGTTTTTAGCCTTTTGCTACTACTAAAAATACTGCACTGAATAACCAGTTTTGTTCCCCTATTAGTATATCTGCAAGGATCAATTCCACAAAGTAGAATCAGCAGGTCAGGAGTATATGCATTTTAAATATTTTTAAAAATATATTTTATTGATTTTTTTACAGAGAGGAAGGGAGAGGGAGAGGGATAGAAAGTTAGAAACATCGATGAGAGAGAAACATCGATTCAGCTGCCTCTTGCACGCCTCCTACTGGGGATGTGCCCGCAACCAAGGTACATGCCCTTGACTGAAATCGAACCTGGGACCTTTCGGTCTGCAGGCCGATGCTCTATCCATTGAGCCAAATAGGTTACAGCTATGTTTTTTTTCATTAGCCAGAAAATGGAGATTTAGAAAGCTTAGAAACTTGACCCAACTGAAAAGAAGTAAGAAATGGTGGACCTTGAAAATGACTTCAGGTTTTCTCACTGCACAGAATATAGTCAAACACTGCTGCAGTTAAATATTTTACCCTTTGTTCTCCCTTCGAGATCTATAATAATAATCTGCTTTGTGTTGATGTTTACTGTTGTGTTGCCGACAATTACCTGAAAGAGAAGTTGGGGTGCTTCACCGGGCTGGAAAAAGTTTAGCTAAATCAGAAAGCAGGGCTAATTAAGCAAGTTTATTCTATATATATAAAAGGCTAAGTTGACTTGTGCATGCATGATACATATAAAGCTCTCGCTGGCGCCAATTGCACACAGCAGGGCACATGCCTGAGTTGTCATTGTTGATTGTGAATTTGGTTGACACTTCTATTATAGAGAAAGGATGAATAGTGATATTAAAATATTTCTTCTAATTAATTTCCTTTCAATATGCACAAATCCGTGCATTGGGCCACTAGTAATAATAAAAGAAGGATCTCTTACCCTTTGAGACAGCCTGGAAGGGCCTGGAGGGTATAATGCTAAGTGAAATAAGCCAGTCAGAGAAAGACAAGCCTAGTATCTAATGAACAAAATAAACGAATGAACAAAAAAAGATCCAGAGACATTGAAGCATGCAACAGACTGACTTATTTCAGAGGGAAGGGGTTGGGGGGTGGGGGTGGGGAGAGACTAACCAATGAACTTATATGTATATATGCATAGCTCATGGACAGACAATAGTGTGAGGAAGGCCTAGGGAGGGGGTGGAAGCAGGGTGGAGGGGATCAATGGGGGGAAATGGGGAGATATCTGTAATACTTTCAATAATAAAGATAACTTTTTAAAAAAGGCATGGAGAGAGAGAGAAATTGTAGTCAGCCAAAAGGACATAGTTATATTACAGATAAATTTGCATCCAATAAATAATATCAATGTCTAGTAATACCTAGACTTTTGCTCAGGATTTTATATATTTTATTTATCCAGTACTCAATTAATCTATGAAGTATTTGAAAAGCCTAGCCCATTATTTATTTTCTTGGGTGTTTATTGTTTAAATTATATGTCTCAAAGGCTTGGCATATTTAATATACAATCTAAGTGAAAAGAGGTCAGTGCCCCTGACTGAATAATCAGGTGTTGCATGTTTTAAAAATTCTGTGGCACACCAGTTGAAAATCTCTGGCCTAAACCATTCCAGGCCATGATTACAGGTTCCTAATCCACAAAGTCAGTGGTGAATAGAACAGTTTATACAACGTGATGAGAGGTTGTTTTCTTCACTAATAGTTGAAAAGGCAAATATAAACCCTGGCTAGCAGAGAGAGGGAAACCTATAGATATTTGGTGGTCCCTCTATTAGTGGCTTTTTCAGAAAGACCAATTTGTGTCGATGCTGATAATCAATCTACAAACAAATCAAAGTCTCAGGTTGGTTGAAAAGCTTCAGTATCCGACCGTCTACCTATTCCTTGAACCCTGAACAAGTGCTCCTTAAGGCTCTGTGGCATTTAAGTATCTTAACTCCCTGTCTTAATCACCATCTGGACATGTATATTGCTCACTACTTACTGTTTTCCTTATGGTTCATCAAACCATACAACTCTGCTGAAATGCATCTATCTTTGGTTGAGAACAACCCCTGCTCATTTAAATTTGGTCTCTTTTAGAGGCATGCTGTTTTGAAGCATTCACCCTCAATTTAATGACCATTTAGTGACCACTCCTTATAGATTAATTTAATAAAATATTTCCTGGTTTAAATTTTTAAATACTCATGGAGGGTTTTATTTTTGTTTTCATTCTTTTTTCTTTTTTAAAAATTATGAAGTCACTTACATGTATAGGCCTAGAGAAGAAAAAATATATGGAGAAAAGAAAATTGCAGAAACTGGAAAGCTCTAACCATTGAGCAACAAAAGCCAAAGCTGAGTACCCTTTGGTAAGTGTGTCAGGGACCTCTTTTTATTATTCTGGTGTAAATTACAGGGATACCTGTGAATATCTATAGGTTGCCCTTTCTATCTGCTAGCCAGGGTTTATATTTGCCTTTTCAACTGTTAGTGAAGAAAACAACCTCTCATCATGTTGTGTAAATTGATCTATTCCCCACTGACTTTGTGGATTAGGAACCTGTAATCATGGCCTGGAATATGTTAGGCCAGAGATTTTCAACCGGTGTGCCACAGAAATTTTAAAACATGCAATACCTGGTTATTCAGTCAGGGGCACTGACCTCTTTTCACTTAGATTGTCAAATAAAAAAATAACAACAGCCAACACACCAATAGCTGTCAGGTGTGAATGCCCAGTCTTGAGTCATAAATGTATAGGTCATAGAATAGAGTTGCATCTTATTGGCCATGTCACATAATAAGCTTGCATGTCATTGATTACCGGAAATTCTTATATACAAATATAGGCACCTGATTTTTTTAAAAGGCACTTTGACCCTAGCTGGTGTGCAGTGGTTAGAGCATTAGCCCATGTACTGAGGAGTCCCAGGTTTGATTCTGGTCAAGGGCAAATACCTTGATTACAGTCTCCATCCCTGCCCTGGTTGGGGCACGTGGGGGAGGCAACCACATCTATGTTTCTCTCTCTGTGTCTCTCCCCCTCCCTTCCTCTAAAAATCAATGGAAAAATATCCTTGAGTGAGGATTAACAACAAGAAAAAGTCACTTTGGAGCAAAAAGGGTAATTACTATTATTTTTTAAAAAATAAATCAATTATATCTATTTTTGTCAGATTGGAAAAAAATAGAATATATTTTTTAGTGTGCTGCAGAATTTTAATAATTAGTTTATGTGTGCCATG